CTCGATCCCGGGACTCCAGGATCATGACCTGAGCCGAAGGCAGTCGCTTAACCAACTGAGCCACCCAGGCGCCCGCCATTTTTTATTTTAAAAATAAAAAATGTTTCTCCCTGTTGGGGGCAAGAAGATGCCCTGGGGGATGGAGCAGACCAGGTTGGAGACCCCAGCGTGGTGATCTTGGGCGGGCCTGGCATCCTCTCCGCACTTCAAATTTCTTATCTGTGAAATAGGAGTTCCTGACTCCCAGCTCCAGGGGACTGGGTCTGAAGGATAAAAATGAGATGCTACTTACAGAATGTTAGCGTGGATCCTCAGATCCAGACAAACAGATGTTTAAGAAACCATGGCTGTTATGATTATATTTGTGGCTTCGTTAGCTCTTGGCTGGTGGGGGGTGGGGGTGGGGTTACTCCAAACCACACAGGTGGGTCTTAGGCTGCTCTCAGTGCCTTTAGCTGAGCAGAACTTGGAAAGGTCTCCATTGACCTAGAGGAGATGACATTTGCGGTAAGCAAGCCTCGAGGAGGCACAGGATTTCCCCAAGGTAAGGAAAGCAGAGGAGGCATTCCTGGTGTGGGTCTTGTAGGAACCAAGCCTAAAGGTCTGGAAGTTCATATCTGACAAGCTCAGGGGTTATGAGGAGATGGGCATGGCGGGCAGGGGAGGAGGGAAACAGAGCAGGAAAAGGCTATAGGACCAGTGGTTAGGAGAGCCCAGAATCCAGTGTGAATTGCCCAGGCTTTGTCCCCTAGGTAGCTGCTGGCCACTGGGGCTTGTTTGCTTGCTTGCTTTTAATTATCAGGAAGATCAGTTAATTTAAATATAACCACGTAGGCCAAGATATAAGTCCTACAACTTACTAAAAAATTATATTCCAAACAATCATTTGTACATTTGAGGGAACTCGGAATACATTTTCTCTTCGTGGATGATTTTTTTCCTCATATGCATGATTGAATTCCCAACTAAACCCCAGTATTTTTATTTTTAAAACAGAGATGAAATACCATCTACTTAAAATACACTGAGTTGTCGTAGAAGATCCTATTGCATTGTCCTGTTTCGTTTTCGTCTGTCCTGCACCCTGGGGCTTTTTAACCCGGGGAGGGCCATGGTTGGATCAGGAGCTAGAAAGTGCTGTCTGGATGCAGACTGACAGTGGGGGTGGAGAAGGGACAGAAGGAAGACATGGGGGAAGCGGTGGGGAAGCCAGGTCATCTCTGGGACAGTAACAGAAGAGCCGCAGTGGGGGTGGGGGGGCGAGGGGCAGTGTCCAGAGACATTCCAGGGGATGGATAGCATGCTTCTGATGATGGGGGACGTGGGTGGGTGAAGGAAGGTGTCAAAGAGCCTGAGGTCTCTGTCCTCTGACAGCTCTCACTCTGGATGCTCAGGGATGAGATTGAGCTGGCCTTCCGGTGAGTAGATAAGCCTTTGTCAGTCGGGAGATGCCATTTTGAGGGAATGAAGCAGATTTTTTAAAAATGTCAGAAATGAAGCCATAGCGAGGCGGTGGGAGAATTTACATCACCTACCACATACTTCCCATCCCCAAACAGCTCTTGGGTTCTCTCCTGGTTCAAGCCACACAGTGTTCTCAGAATTCTCCCATGGCGCCTGAGGGGGTGCCTGAGAAAGCCAGCATGTCCCCAGCATGTCACACACGCAGGACTCAATAAATGTGGGGGAGAGAGAATCCCAAGCCTTGTGCTCTTTGTCTCTCTTTCAGAATGTGACGTTGGTGCTTCTAAAGCCGTGGTCAACGGGTTGGCGCCAGGCAGCAATGGGCAGGACAAAGGTAAGCTCTTGAAGGGAAGCCCGGCTGGGTATTAGGAAGCAGTTCTAGATGGAACAGAGTATGTGGGGCCAGGGCCACTGGCCTGGTACGAGCAGTCACTGGTCGCATCGGGCTGTGAACCAGAGACCTGTTTCCTGTGCCGACTTTGAGACTGGGAGCATGTTCTTGCATCTCATGGGTCTGAGGCCACTCTTTCCCACCGTGAGGTCACATGGTAATAAAACCTGTCCCTCACTCCCGGGATGTGGATAACAATAGGTCAAGTACACCGACCGAGGCCTTCGCCTGGTGCAAACGGCATTTATCGACGTGGAGTCTCCCTTACCTGACATTTTACCTTCAGTGGCGGTAAGTAGTGACGCGTCCACAGTCCTGCCCCGGAGGCAAGAACCTCTGATTGCTGAAATCACTTATTTCCGTGACATTAGTTCCATGTGCATCCTCGATTTTCAGTTTTTAAAAAATTTCAGGACAGAAGATTTAAGTGGGAAGTGAGTGATGGATAAGATGACTGTTGAGGTCCCGTTTGCCTTGTGGTCTCTCCTCCACAGCCTCTCAACATGACTGCCCATGTAGCCAGGCTCCAAGGCTCCCATGTCACTTCCTCAGTGTGGCATGGGCTGAGCGATGAGGTACGGACTCGTGTTCCGCTTCTGCTGCTCACAGACAGACATCTGGGGAGGTCCATTATCTTTATGGGTATGAGTCCCCTTATCTAGAAAATGAGGGAATGAGATGTTCTGCTTCAAATTCTGGGTTTTAGTGATTCCATCCATGCTCATCCTGCTAAATTTTATGGCATCCAAGAGAGGAGGGGGCAAAAGTCCTGTCATTGGGCATTCAAGTCAAAATGCACCATCTTGCAAAGAATAATTTCAGAATGTGACATGTTTGGCCTTTGTTTGTAATTTACATCTGGTTCAGCCAAGTAGTCCTCTTGTGACAAGGCAAAGTGTAAAGTCAGGAGGAGCAGCTGGGAAGGGAAGGTACAGAGCACGGGAGGAGCTAGGGAACGGGGGGCCCTGTTAATTTGGGGGTCGGTTCCTCTGTGGCAGGTGTCCTGCTGCTCTTTGCTCCTTGCTTCCCTCCCCGACCACCCTTCTCCACTCACGGTGCGGGATGGGTTCTCAGGGCCTTGGGCAATCTTGGCTAAGTCACACTTGGGGGTGATGAGGGCAGTGCCTGAGGAGTGGCCCCAGGGTCATGTTTCAGCATCCAGGGAGCATGGGGAGGGCTGGGGGCTCTGATGTTTGTAAAACCTGTGGGGCCGTCAACCCCATCCCTGTGAATTCATTCACAGAGCAGACTTCAGGGGTGTGAAGAGGGTGGCAGGTGGGCGCGGATTCCACTCTCAACTCAGTAGACTCAACCCTCCTTTGGAAAGGAGACAGCAGATGTAACCCGAAGGTCGTCATGGCGGCCTGGGGAAGTCACTGAGCCAGGTCCCTGGACAGCTGAGCTCCAGCCTCTTCACCTAGGAGCTGGATGACTCTGAGTAGCTCAGCCTCTTGCTTCTTCCTCTGAAAGTGGTAACAAGAATCTCCCACTGGCCAATCTCCTACGTGGTCATAAGGAGCAGGCAACGGGATCGCTGTGCAAGCATGTTTGTATCTCAGTACATGCACTGTTGTTATTGTCTACTTAGTTATTGATGGCCGTGGGCTACGTGACCTCCTTATGAGGCGGCAGCGTGATGGGCTGGAAAGTGAACTCTCTGTGGTTGAGGGTCCTGTCTCCCTCCTGTCCCCTTGACAGGTCTTGCTTCCCAAACAGCCCTTACCCCCCAATTATTTTGTAGATGTGGGGCCAGAAGACCTCTGAGTGTTGCTCATTGGGGTGACCCTGGTGCCATAGCGCCTGAACTCCATCTCTCCTTGCTGCCATTGGAGAGACAGGGTGAGGGGAGGCTTCCCCACAGGCTGTGAGAAGGAGGGTTTGGGGCTGTGCCACCATTGAGACTTCAGGATCTGGGGAGGTGGCGGGTCCAGGGAAGCCTTCAGAGGGAGAAGTAGGGGCACCCAGGATATGAGGACAGCAGCCCCAGCCACATCCCAGGCCGTTCTGCTGGTTCTCTGGCGGCCCGGCCAGGTGTCAGGATCCCGGGATGTGTACGTGGGTGCTGCCCAGAGTCTTGAGCATGCACTGGACACCTGGCAACCTCTTGTCCAGGAAAGGCTGGGTTTAAGCAAGAGCATCTGCTGCCCAACAGATGGAGGTTCTGATTTGCTCGGGGACAGAGGACCATGGTGGTCAGGGTCCACAGGCACAGGAAGGACCCCAGAAGTTGTGATGGTGGGGAGGCAGCCGTGATGTCTGAGGGGCCCAGGCAGCTCACCAGCTTGTTCCCTTCCCTCCCGCACTCATCAGGGGCCTGAGCCAGGGCTCTCTTCCTCGCGGCCCTGCCCCCAGCACAGATACCCCGGCCTGCTCCCAGGGCCCCTCGGACCCTGGGGGCTCTCCCCTCCCACTGTGTGCCAGGCCATCTGCCTGTCTGGAAATCTTTTTGTCCAGAGGCTTGGCACGTTCCTGGTGTGGCAGGAGGCACAGATAAACACTGACCAACTGCGTATGGGTGACGGGGGGACGGGGTTCTGCCATCTCGGCAGGGAACTCTGGAGAGAGAAAGGTTATTTTAAATGACCGCATCTACTGCTCTTCGCATTGTTCTTTTTGTGTGGGCGACTTCCTCCTATTGTCCCTGCCCAGTTCCTCAACTGCCTGAGTGTTTCCCAAATGTTCTTTCTGGATGCACCATTTACCGTTTTGTGTTTTCAGCAACTGCCGACCCTTTACGTGCACGCTCTATTTCTGCTGTTAAAATAATTCCCGTGAAGACAGTGAAAAGCTCTTCAGGCCTGGTACTCCCTCCAGGTATCTCTCCTTGGGTTGGTTTCTTTTTTTTAATTAGTAGCAGATCATGCATGGTTTTCCTTCCTTTCCTTCTAACAAAGACTTGGAGGCTTAATTCTTGCATGTTTAGGAGCTCTTCCCTCTCACGTCCTTAGCTGGTTTCCTCTCTTCCTGTCCGTGCGTGCGTGCGTGTGTGTGTACGTGTGTGTGTGTTTTGTGAGGCAGCATGTCTAGAGGAATACTGAGAGATGCCTTGCCCCTCCTGTCTTTAGGAGAAGGGTCAGTCCAGAGGCTGCATGATTTACCCTGGTACAGGTCTCTGGTACGTGGGGTACATGATACATGGAGGTGCATGCAGTACATGGCTCTCCCCGGAGGCTTCCAGCTCCCAGTACTTTATTTACAACTTCAGTCTGCCCGAGAATTAACGTGTTTACACAGGGAACCTCTGAGTTGGGCCGAACTTGAAGCAGCTGCTTTAGATGCCAGTCCTAGATGCACTGCTGTGCTCCCCCAAGCCCCGACTTCACCTGCAGTCCCTTCCTGCTGCTCCTGTCCGAGGAGGGGCTGCTGCTCAGGTGTCAGCTCTGACAGACAGCTTCCTTCTGTGCGAAATGGCACAAGCAAGGCCCAGGTGGTGCTTTATCCCAGTGGTGCTCTCCGGAGTTAGGCAGATCTGGCCATGCATCCGGGAGCCTAGGATGGCTGGATTTGTCATTTTGCAGCTCATCCTTTTTGAAAAGGCCATGAATCAGTTTTCCCAGTACCTTTGTGACCTCAGTCACTTATCCTCTTGATAGGGTTGGACAAGTCACATGCCCACCAAGGTCACTGCCTGCTCTGCCACACACTGTCTTTTTGTGCTTTGCTTTCAGTGGGAAGAGGTGCTGATGGGGCAGATCTGTTCTCTTCTGTAACACCAGTGGTCGGTCCGTCTGAGTTGTTGGAGAGGCTGCTGGACTGGAGAGGAGGAGAGAGGAGGCTGTACTTCTCTCTGCCCTGGCACGGGAATGGGGAGGCGTGGATGTCTGAGCCTCCGTCCTGCCCATCGCCCACCTTAAGCCTTACCCCATAATCCCAGCCTTGACAATTTTAGGTCAGAGATCCGGGCTGTGCTGTGAGCAATTTGATAAACATGAACGGTGGCATTCAGTTCAGCTGAGCTGCACGGAAGGAAACACGTGCCTTCTAGAACTGTGTGATCTATGTCAGTTTCTTGACTCCTCATCACTGGTTTTCCTAGAGGATGAGCATCCAGATCTTCTGAAGCCTGTTTTGAAATCCTTCTCAATGGAATTCTGAAAGATGACCTGAGTGTGCTGTTAGGACATTGTGAGCTGTAGGAGAGGTCAGGGCCCAGGGAAGGCTCGGCAGGGGGCGCAGTAAACACTGTTCACTGAAGGATTTGGTGTTTCTTGTCATTTTCTTTGGTGTGAATTTTCTTCATTAAGTTTGGAATGTGAGGCTCTCACCCATGATCTTTCTCCACAGGCAGTATATCCTGTCGTCATTTTAAGGGTCTTGACTTGCTGATAGAAGATTTTTTTTTTTTTTCCTTTTTCCACTGGAGAAGAGGGAGCAGTGATTTTTTTTCCCCCAGAACAACTTGATTCCCAATATTGCCAACTTGCTCTTTCATTGGAAGGGTGGTCTGGAAGCTTGAGAAATCTCTCATCAACTCTTTCTTGAATTATGCCTTACTAATTGGTCAGAAGTTTACTCACCAATCTAAGCCTCATCTAATAAAAGGAATTAACCTGCTTTCATTTTGAAATGTTTTCAGCTGATAATTATAACTTACACAGAAGTCATTGTCACCTCCATTTCCCCCGAACCTCATGATGTGTGGTAAACCTCCGAAAACGGGATTCGTCTCTCTCCTCCACCCACAAATTAATTCTCATTGACCATCACATTGACCATAAGACTACGTGGCTGTAAGCAGGTTCATCTCATTCCCCAGCTGTCATGAGTTGCCAGCTGACTGTTGCTTTAATCCTTCAAGAGCCTTGGATTCAGGCTTCTCTTTGCATCTTGCCTTTTCAGACATGGATCCTACGAAAATCTGCACTGGGAAGGGAGCGGTGACTCTCCGGGTCTCATCTTCCTACAGGGAAATCCCGAGCAGCGGCCCCATGAGCCCTCAGGAAACCCCACAGCATGAAAGCAAACCAGGTGTGTGACCCCTGTGCCTGGGGGAGGGGTTCAGAGTCCCCCCGGGAGGGAGAGAGGCCCTCTTGCTTTTGCTCGGAAGGGTGTGCATTCACGGGCTGCCCCCGATTCTCCCAGAGGTCCCTGGAACCGTCAGCACCTCGTTCCATCTGGGATGGGTGACGATCAGTGCCCTAAACTACCAGGTGCTCCCTTGCTTCGGGCAGAGGCATGGCAGTGGCCACCGCTTTGTTAGCTGGTGACTGGAGAGATGAGGAGAAACCTCGTTACAGGGCTGGTGGCTCTACAGACTCCATTCTCGAGGACAGAGGTGGCTTAGGCTGCATGGGTGGGGAGTGGTGCGATGGGCTAGAGGTTGGGTTTCTCAGTGGCCATCCCCGTTTTGAGAGCTGGCTCTAAGTGGCCAAGCAGGGCTGGGGCGGTGGAGGGGGTGAAGCCAAGGGAGGTTGAGAAGTACAGGTGCCTGACTGACCTGGCTCCCAGGAAAAGGGGAGGGGCAGGGCTCAGGCCTGGGGAGGTGACCCGGCAGCTGAAGCAGCAGGAGCAGAAGAGCCATTCCAAGGTCACTGCACCCTGGGAGCTATGGGAGACAGAAGAAGCCCATCTGCAGCCCACCTCCCAGTCGGCTCCACTGGTCGGCGTGTCTAGAGAGTGGTGTTGAGACTGGGACTTCGGAACCCGAGAGATCTGTGTTCACATCTGTGGCCGTGCAGTGGACAGGATGTTCCCTGTCTCAGCCCTAGTGGTGTCCTCTGTAGAAAGGGCTTGATAATTGCACCTGCCTCCGAGCATTACTGTGAGCGTGGAGTGTGTGAGGTTTTTGCACCTGCCTAGACGTTAGCTGCTATTAGTAGGTTATGCTTGTGATTATTGTGACCTCTCTAGAGAGGGTTTTCCAGAGCCCCCCAAGTGTTCTGGGAGTTGAGAAACACTGAGATTTCACAGGGACAGCTAGCTTAGGGTGGGGCACCCCTCCCCTCCAGTCCACTCCATACGGCACTGGTGCTCACCTGAGCTGCATCAGAATCACCTGGAGTAAAAGGCCAGGCTGCTGGGCCCCAGGCCGGGGCTTTAGGAATTACAGTTATTCCCACTTACAGGTCTGAGGTAGTGTCTGAGGGTTTGCATTTCTGACAAGTTCCTGGTCATGCTGGGATGCTGCTGGTCCCAGGATCACGTTTGAGAGCTACTGCTAGAGGGAAGGGGAGCTTTCTTTCCTTCTTGAAGGAAATGAAGGAAGAAAAGGAGTGAGAGTGAAGACCAGTTCCTTGGGACTGGAGACAAAAGGAGGTGGGGCACACAGACTCTTTGGTGCAGCGAGGAGCAGTGTGTTGTGATGAGATGGAAACCTGAAGGAAGGAACCGGTCAATGGCCAGCATCCTGGAAGCTGACTTCCTGTGCCAGCCACCTACAACTAGCACCAAGGCAGATGCCCAAGGATGAAGCCAGGCTAGGGTTTGAGCACAGTCCCCGTTCTGATAATGCTGTGCCCTGTGGAGGGCTACGTTTTCCCTGGTCTCAGGGAAGGCGTAAGTGGCCTCCAGCACTATAGGTTGAAAGTTGCTTCTTGGCCCTGTGTTCCTCCAACCATACCTGCCTTTTGCCCCACTGCAGTCTCCCACTCTAGCCCTCCTGGAAAGGTGGGGCCAAGGAGTGAAGGCAAAATCATTTCTTCCTAAGGCTAACTTCATCCAGCTTCTCCTGGCCCACTTGGGAAGATCCAGCTCCCAAGGATGTTTGGGGAAGAGAGAATCCTCAGGGATAATAGAAAAAGACCATACCTACAGCCCATGGCTCAATAAAATGACCTTATCAAGTGCAGGGCCCTTCCTCTGGGGATGAATGCGTAGTGCGAGTGGGAGGAGAGGGTCCTGGAGCTCCCCCTCCTGGTTATCGGGTGGCACTAACATGGAGCGTTGAAGGGTAGCCTTCCCCCGGCAATCTGTGGGCTTGGGTTTACAGGACCGTGCAGTGATGTGAGCACTTTTAGGAAGCTCCCTAGTCTCCGAATAATTCTATATCTTACGAATTCTGACAGCTAATTTGGGTGAAGAAATATCTTGTTTTAAAATGTGAATACACTGAAGAATTAGGGGAGAGCTATCAGTCATGCACACCTCTATAGTAAATCGATTTTAGTAGATTATTTTCCTCCTTGTAAGTGGAGATCATTGACTCCAAGTCGGCAAACATTCATTTAGTATCATCCGTGTGCCAGGCGCTAAGTAGTCTGTGGGAATTGTGGTGAGAAATAGGGAGATGGGAGGGAAAAGGAGCGTAATTCTGGGTGCATCAGATGAGGACAGAAGCCCATTTGCTGCAATAGAAGAGTCAGGCGTGGGCCGCTCATCCACCGTGCTTTCCGACCATGGGGAAGCCACACCGTTGAAGCCCAGGTAAAGTATGAGGGACCTGGGCAAGATGGTTTCCAAGCCTTTCTAGTTCCAACATGCTCTGTGACCTTGGGCAGTGTGGGAATTAACCTGACACAAACGGAATCGCCCTCACTAAGGACAAATTCGAGATTACATACCAGGACAGGTTGGGTGGAAGGGACAAGCTGGGTTTGAGTAGAGGGGAGAATACCAAAGAGGCTGGAATGAGTTAACGCTGGGGGGATGGGACTCCAGGGATGGGACCTTCCAGCTGGAGATCCTGTCCTCTCCCCGTACTGCTCATTGGCCAGCATCTTGCTGGCGCCTGACTGGCTGTGTCTGTGTGGCTGTCTAGCTCTCCTCTCATCCCTCTCTGCTCCCTGCACCTGGGCCTCTGCATGACAACTTGCCCCACAACCCCCCTGTCCCCCCACCGCCAGTCTTCAGTCCTGTCTCAGGGCCTGGGACTCCATGGGCCTTGAGAGGCCTCATGAAAACAGCTTTCTGCAGTATTTGTAGGCAGCCATGTCCAGCCCAGACCGGGAGCCCAAATATGAGGCAGCAAGTGTCTCCTCCATGCTTCCTACCCCCAGTGCCTTCACAGATAGCTGATGTCAGGTAGCGTCCAGCTCTCTCCCCTGTCACCCGGGCCAGCATCTGTCCCCTAGCTGCTCTGCCTGCCTCCTCTCTGCCTCACTCCCGGGCTTCACCACCTTCTTCCCTCCCAGTAGGCCCACAAGTGGCTGATCAGTTGCCCGGACTGGAAGCTCCAGTCTTGTACTACTGCCCAGCACCTTCTTTGCTTACGTGACCCCTTGACACCCACATTTCAGAAGCGTCTCCTGTTCCCCGTCCTTGCTCCATCTCCCTCATCCTGTGAGACACGGTCTAGTTCTGCAGTGACACAGTCCTCTCTCGAGGCTCAGCTCTGCTGCTTCCATCTTTGTGATGTAGGCAACTCATTCAAACTTGGCGAGCTTCACTTTCCTCCTCTATGACATGGGAATGACCTCGGTAGAGTTGCTGGGATTCAGGGAGCTCTTTCACACCAAGATTTAGCACCGAGCCCAGCACACAGCAGCTGTTCTTTGATGGCAGCCATTCTAGCTGTGCACATCCGGAGGCCTGGGGAAGCCTTCCAGTAATTTCAGCTAGAGGCCATGAGGGCAGTGGGAATGAAGAACAGGGCCAGGGTGGACGTGCGTTTGGAAGAGTGAAGTGGCAGGGCTCGGGGCGGTGTGTGTGAGGAGCACGGAGACGTGGACTCCCTGCTGCGTAGGCACTACCTCCCCTGCTTGACCCGGAGAAAGGCTGTGGCATTTGTGGAGACAGTGGCTTTATGGAGGGGGAGAAAGCGATGTTGAATTCCATTGTTTGCCATACTGAGTTTCGGGGCAAGGGCAGGACTTCTAGGAGGAAGTTTCTAGTAGACATTTGGAGTTTGGAGTGCGGATTTGGGAACCATGTGCATCCAGACAAACACTAGGAAGATGGAGGTGCTCTCTGAGGTGGAGTGAGATGGAGCCCTTGGAGTTGCCCAGCTTAAACCCACCCTCTAGACTCCAGCCCTCAAGTGGTAGCTTGACTCTGGATCCCCAATCACAGCTTCCTGACCAGCCTCCTAATCTCTGAATGTGGACCTTGGTTTTTGGGTCAGAAGCATCTGGAAAGAACTGCAGTGATCTTAGTGCTGACGCCCTGCCCCGGGAGAGGGATTACCTTATCCCTGCTTCCTGATAGCATTTGTCCGGCCAGGTCTGGGTATTGGCTCTTCTGGTTCAGGGTGACTCCACCTACATCCCCAGGTCAGGGTGTTCGTTATTCTAGAAGAGACACGGAGCCTAATGAACTGCTGAGTGTGATACGAAGCTTCCTGTCTGGTATAGCCTGAAGACCGTCAATCCCTGTGTTCTGACCCGCAAGCCAAAATCCAGTTCAACCCTTAACATCTTGTTAATTCTGTGCCAGTTTGCTCCAGTCCTTCCTACCCGGTTCTTGACCACCGTGTTAGTTTTGGAACTAAATCGACACATTTCCCCTGGTTTGACTCTCAGGTTTGTGCTCTAGAAATGGCAGTAGCAAAAAGGTATCATGAGAAAATGGACATGGAAGCAGTTAAAGACACTCTCTACCCCCGGTAACTCAGAGTCCTCTTTATGAACGCCGGTACAAGAATGAGGGTCAAACTAAGCAGTTGGAAGGAAGAGTCTCCACAAGAGAACACC